AATTCTATACATATATTTATATACTCAAAATGATCGTGTATCTTCATCTATCTGATAGGATCTTATGGTATGGTATAGTAGAGGGTTTTACGGCGCTCGCAACTGCATAAGGTCATATGACCGCCAGTGATAGGATCTGAAAATGCTGCGGAGACTGTTATCTTAAACGTGTTACAAAAACTCTCTTCCAAACATTGTTTACATTTTTATTCGTAGGACAGAGAATGGGCCTGAATAAAAAAGAACCCCCCCCCAAAAAAAAAACAAACAAACAACCCAACCCCAAACAAACAAACAAAACAAAAAAACCCATCCCCCAACAAAACCCCCTACAAAACCCCCAAAAACAAAACAAACAATAACAAAAAAAAAAAACTTATTAAAAACCCCTACAAACAACAACAACAATAACAACCCAAAACAAAATTGACCAAGACAAGAGATTCGGTTTTGGAATATCGCATGGTGCTTCTTATTTTAAGGAAAACTACCTTGCATTTTGTACTGCATCTGAATAAATGTACATTGCTATGTACGTAAATATATTGTATTACATTAAACTGACATGGGCGAGAAAACAACTGTTGAAAATAATAATAATATATCACCTGAAAGCTTAAAAACTGCATTCTTCGTAATCGCTCTCTTACATCCTTTCAAACACTGTCCATCTCCAGACGGTGTATTTGAGATACTAAAGAAACATCCTCAAAAATGTTGGCAGTGACATCTCTATTATAGCGTGTTTGCCACTGCTTTAAGAACATGGTGCGTCTTGTTTGTGAAGAGTTGGAGTAAAATCAATTCTAAAGGAGTTTCAATTTTAGAAAGAATGCAAACGTTTTCATTATGTCGGTGGCAACATCTTTCATAGGCTATATATTAACTGCGCGGGGATTTTTTGGGGTGTTTTGTTTTTCTTCTAGAGAAAACGACCGTATTCCCCAGTGTACCAGAGCTCAGAGGGTAAATGACAAGCGATCTTAAAATCACACTCGAGTAAGCTGATTTTTACGTGCATCGCTGATTTATCTGCATAGAGCGTAAAATCATCCCTTGTTTGACAGGCAGTCACGGCGTGCCATTTTCGAAAGAACTTCTTATATTTATACTGATAAAGTGACTTGAGTTTTGGGTAGAAATTAATTTCGATTTCTGCCCTGACGGCAACCTATTATAGGGCTTACTTGTTTCGATTTTTAGAACCCCAAAGAGACTTTAACTTAAACGTGTACAACTTCTACGTGTGACTTCTGAAAATTTTCGCCTTTATAGGAGGTGACTAGATGCTCTCCCTCTCCTTCCTAGGAGTTGTAAAAAAATACGAGCAAGGACTCGACTCTTGCAGGGGCCGAACATTGGACTTACAGATTGACAGTAGGCGAACACCAAACCTGTTGAGCTTCTCTACGTACTTACTGCCCGTCACGCCATCTGGCGTTTAGGGCAGCAACATTAAGGATCTCCAGCTCTGTCTGTTTTGTGACAGTGCCGACCGAGATACGATTTTTATT